CCCATATCAGGCAGGGATGTGCAGCACACCAGACTTCCAGGCTAGAATCACTGTGGTACTCTAAATCAGACATCATTTATCTCCACCTGTGTCTTCACACTGTAGATCAAAGCAACACTGTCCAAGATTCAGCAGTCTGGAATGAAACCATGTGCTATTCTTATTCTTTGCAGCAGCAGAGCCTTCCAGAACTTCATTGTCAGAGCACCAGGATCAGTTCTTGATGTTGTTCAGGACACTTGGGGAGACACTTGGGGAACACTTCTGTCGTTTTTGTTTTGACAGATCAGTAAAAGAAATCACATTCCACACGTTTCACATAAATACTGTGATCTCCATGAATAAGAACACCTTTTAATTCCCTAGGATCAATTCCATCAACTTTCATCAATTAATACAAGAGTGCTAATGCTACTATAATCTCGTTGGCTTCTGATAGGAACACAGCCAATATCTAATAATCCTTTTACACTGTTGCCAAGGCTGAGCATCTCAGAATGCAACTGTCGTTGCTGTACACATGGCAGTAATCATGAGCATCTAAGGAACAACAGTCTTTTCTATTTTCATGAGGTCTTTTCAAGCCTGAGATTAGTGTGATTGGAGTCAGTAACACAGAGGATAGATGACCTATAGTTATGATCATATAAATAATAATCTGGTAATATATAATCTGCAAATCAGGTAATACAATAATCTCATATGAGAGATAAATCATCTCTGATAATCAATAAATAATGTTCTATATGCAAGTTTACATAACTATGGCCCTTTCAGAAAATGAGAGCTTAAGATTTCAGGGCACTTAAACCTCCGGATAGCCCCTAAGAGTCTTCAGAACTTCTTATGTAATATGTTTGTAGGTGCCTCTCAATACACAATTGCCACTCTTCCTCAGATAGGGTAACAGAGTCATATTTGGATATTTCAGAGCCCTCAGATAAACAGCAGGACTGGAGCTCTGTGCTGGGCAGATTTTTAAGGAGATGAGGAGAGCAGAGTTTACACTCAATGCAAGGAATAGGTTCAAATGTATGACATTCCACTATTTAAAAAAAAAAAAAAAAGAATCCCATAAGAGTGGTGAACAGGCTGCTCAGAAAAGTTGTGGAACCTCCATCCTTGGAGATTTTCTAATGCCAGCTGGGGAATTGGAACAACCTGCTCAAGCCTTTGAAGAAAGCTTTGGTTTGAGCATGAAACAGGACTAGGTTACCTTCAGAGGTGACTTCCGACCTCCGTGATTACATGGAATTCCATGACATCTGATACAGGCAGTAAAATATTTTGACATAACCATTAACCATGTGAAAGGGAAAATTGAGATTTTCTTCTAGGGAATCTCTGAGTGCTTATAATCACTTTATTTATGTATTTATTTATTTGTCAAGAGGAATGTAAAATTATTTTTAATAACTAATACAATTAATCTAAACCTTTCCTTGATTTGAGAAAATTTTGATAAGGTAGGATACAGGAAATATTATTTCCATTTCAGAGGAACTTTCATGTTGGCCTCTTCAGTGTGCCTGTTGTTAAAGCACTTGACATTTAGCTCAGCTCTCTCTTTGCTTTACACATGTGCAACAGTATTTCCTTTACGTCACAGAGCTATTATAAGAATTAAGATATCAACTTCTATGGTACACATACAGAGCAATGACATCCTGACATCATCTTTCTTGCTAAATCACCTTGCAATTACCAGGGTAGTACCAGCAGCTGTGAGTGGACAAAAATACTGCATCTTTCAGGTTTCCAAAGGTCAAAGCATTTTAGGTGGATCTGGGTCTTCGGTACTTACTCAGTTTTCAAAAACTCTGTTTTTGGGAGCACTGAATGCACTATTTCATCAGGTGATGGTTATACCTACTGCCACACTCAGTGGATCTTTAATACCAACCACCATTAACAAGGGCACATGCATGAAGCTAGAGTCTTCCTCATTCATCTATTGGTGACTACTGACTGTACAGCATCTGTAAGAACCTGTTTGCCAGTCACTTGACGTTGTGTCTTGCATAGGTATTAAACTATTTCTTAGCAGTTGCATTTCTCAGGCTGGGTCTCTATTGTATATTGGATGTTGTACGGTCACTTAGCAGCATTCAGAGAAAAAGAGACTCTAGCTGTCATGCATGTAGGTATAGCATAAATACCTGATGAAATAGTGCATGCAGTGCTCAAAAAGGAGATCTTGAAAGGTGTACAAGTTCAGAAGACCCAGTATGTATAAGCACTAGCATATCTAATAGGTGGAGCTGATTTACACACAATTTTAGTAGATTTTTTTTCCTCCACTTTTCAAAATGCTACCGGCTTTATAGTTATTTTCCAAAGATTTTTGGACCAAAGTCCTGATATAAATTATTTAGATGCAAATATCATGCATTTTACTGACCTAATGCACCGAATGACAACTTGATTGTTTTTAAAATATTGGAACAAAGAATAAATAAGGAGTTAATAAAATTTCAACTGACTTTGGAAGTCAGTAATATGTGACATTTTTCTGAAAGGCCTGTTCTCAAAGAGCAGAAATTAATTCTACAGGCAAATGCCATATATAACCTCCTACCTCCCTTTGGCCATGTCTAATAAGCTGCCAGTCATAACAGAAGACAAAAGGTCACTACACAATAGAGGAGTCAGTCACTCGAGATTTCCCAGGAAATTTCACACAGGGCTGCAAGACAGACTTGCAGGAAAGAGGGATAATGTCACATTATAGTAAATATTAACATAAATAATAGCAGGGTCTAAAGGGCCCCATCTTAGATCCACTCTGCAAACAGGTCTCCTGTTGACCTGCGGGAACACGGACATGTTGACAGCCAGCAGTCCTAACAGAAGGACTGCTCAGCAGAACAGCTATTTAAAATTGCATTTCTCTTCTTTGCTCTAGTCTCCCTTCTTCTTGTTTGCCTGAATTGTTTCGGAGTTCCCAAGGTATTTTCAGTGGTAGATTTTGTTGTGCGAAGAGTCTTCTTATTTGTTACCCATTAAATTATCATGATGATCCATTTATCCATGGAGCAGGTATAAGCAGGGATGCAAGGATTGTAGTTGCAATGGACTAGATGGTTGCAAGTGAGATCAGAGGAAGGAGGAGAGAGAATCTAGAAATGGCAGAGATGAGTGTTCCCTCATTTGAATTCTGACTGTTTCTGTTACCTAAATAGTGACAGGAAAAAGGGTTGTATTCATGCCGGAGTGTTTTTTCCTGAAGCTGTAGAAATCACAGGACATAAGCAGAATAACATATGTAAGTAGAGGCATTATCTTATACCAGTTGACATAACCTAATTTTATAATTATACTATTTGGTCTAATAAAAGATGTTATTGCTACTTATATACATTGTCACAGAAAACTATTTGATGAAGATGGGAAGATTTTCTTCAACAACCCACCAACTGTTCTCACTGTCGCCCCCCTCTTCTCTCTTTTTTCACCTCGCCTTCTTGCTACAGCTATATCTTCTTCACAATCCTCCCTCCAAACCCTTCCTGCCACCATGTCGTCCATCTAAAATTTTCTCACCACCTCCTCTCACTTGGGGAATCACCAGTTCCTCACCAGAAAAATGTCTCAGCTTGGACTCTACTCTGTGCACCACTTCATCTCTAATGCTGGGAACCAGTGTCTGCGCAAACCAAATGTCAGATTGGGAGTAAGAGTGCATTTCAGTCCTCTCACCTATTTAGGGTAATTCTGTCCCATGCTATTTCCAGTCTAAAAAGTAAATAAATAACAAACAAGCATTACAAACACTAGTATGCTCCAGAAGATATCATCAAAAAATAAATAAATAAATGAAACTGAAAGTGCTCAGAATTCACAATACATACAAAACTCCTGGAGGAACTACAGAAGACAGTGAAAAAGAGGTAAAGGCTGACAGTCCACAGAGGCCCTGTATTACTTGAACAATTACCCGTAGATGTGGTAAAGCACTGCATGACCTTTAGCACTTAAGCTACATTTGCTTCTCTAACCTGCAAAGGTCTGGAAATATTCTCACACACTTACTAATCAAATCAGAAAATCTAGATGTCCAAAGAATCATTTTACTAATCTATCCCTGAAAAAAAATCTTATTATCTTCGATCATGTTGATTTTACTACTAAAGATGGGAACATGCGTCACTGAAGGACTAGGAGAAAAAAAAAATTGTTTGCCAATCAAAAAGCATAAATCCATCTATGTCAATGACACCAAGTCATATTGGTTTAGTTTTTTATCTCCAGTCACCACTAGGCCAGCAGTGCAAAGCTTCTCTTGTTGGCTATTGTCCCATTGTCACTATTGCATTGTTGTGCTCTGAGGCTCAGATAGTGACCTATTTTTGGAGGGGCAGCCCTCCAAGAATTTAAGATCTTTGAAAAGGGATTTGGTGATATGCTATACTATTTTTATTCAAGACCTTTGTTCAAGCAGCAGGAGAATCAGTTCCCTGCTGCCTTATTTATGTGATTGCATGTGGTTAGAAACCCCAAATCCAAATAGATGGAAGAGGTAGAGAGCAATCAGGGAGATACATATCACATATTCTGTCCCTCTATTTTGACAATATACTTACCAGCATTTTTGTGAAGCTAGTTTATTATCCTAGAATATCAACTTAAAGAAGAGATTTACACGCTATGGTGGGACTAGCAAAAGATTAGGTTTGACAACACAACTTTTAAATCCAATGATTTACCACAGTCTTAAGTTTTCAGTGATTGGCTGGCCTTATAAGCCACTGCTAAAAGTTTCAATTGAAAGCTATGAAATACACATTATGCATCCCACAGCTATCATAGTAAGACTTCTGAAAGTCATTAATGTTGTCAGTTTAGCACATAAAAGATATTTCTATCTATGAAATGATCAGCAAATTGAATTCAGGAATTCTTTAGGGATATACTAGGATCCTGATGTTTTGTTCCAGCTGTCTCTCAAAATGTTATTCATGATGGTTTAAGCATCTACTAACATGGAACTTTTTAGAAAGCTACAGACAGCTGAAACTGCCACGCTCATGTATTTCTTTGTCAGACAGCCCATTTGGAGTGTCTGACTGCATCCTGCCTTTCCTCATTGCTTTATACAAGATTATGTTCAAACTAGGGAAATCAAAGATTACTTCTAAGTCAAACAGTGTCTGAAATCTGCCCACAAATTGATTCTCTTTGTCCAATCTAAATTTCATAGCCCAAAGAATAACAGTATCGTTCTCGCACAAGTGATCAAAAGTTAGGAGGAGTTCGTCTAGGAAGGGATGGTGGTAAACAACATCAGCAGCCAGAATGTAGTCAAAGTGACATGAAGACCTAGGAAAGTTCTTCTCCAGATCAACTCCCCAAGACAATTCCTTAGCACAAGGCTGATGCTTGCATTTCAGTTTTGTGTTCTGGAGAACGTTGTGTTGAAGGTTTCCCAGTAGTTCCGGCAAATCGGTGGCAGTTACACATGCACCTGGACAGGGAGGGAAAAAAAAGTCATCTTTGAATAGAGTTCAAGACTTCAGCGAAAGTCTACTCACAAAAAACACCACCCAGGGAACTGAAACAGATATCAAGGAGAAGAATAGAGCACTGTAAAGTTCTTAGACATTGTACAAAATTAGTATTTGGCTCTCAGATAAAGAATCACATCTAAAGATAGTCAGCTCTACAGATTGCCATCTAAATGAAGCAGGGGAGGCAGGAGGGGATAGGATCAAATTCTTATTGCATCCTCATAACACATTGGTTAAGAGTACTGTGAGAGAATAGGGACTGAGAAATACTGACTCCAAAAAGTCAGTGTGAGATTTAAGCATTGTTTCAGGCTCCTTGCTTTTCACATGGCAAAAACCTTTCTCAGACTACAGAGTGTTAACATTCTGTTAAAATGCAGAAGTTACTAACTTGGATTATTCTTGAGAAAGAGCAGGCTATGGTGAGAGAAAACAGAACAAAGTGCTGGTAGCAGAAAGCTCAGGGATCAACTGCTAAAAGAGAAAAGTCCGAACACATGTGGAAAAGCAGCAGCTTGGCATCCCAGAGCTATCTGGACAACAGAATAAGTTTTCCCTAATTCTGTCTTCTGGTTTCTCCTGACATTCACCTCAGGCCACTAGCTTCTTATTTTGATCCCCTGTTTAGCACTTAACAGCAGCTTCATCTACTGGAACATCCTTTATTGAACAAATGCATTCAGAATTTTAAGGAAAAAATAAGAGAGTTTCCAAATAAGCCTTTCAGAATTCACTTTTTCTTTCATTTTATAGCTTTCAAGCAATTCTGTTCTTGAGCAACTGAGCCACTTCCTGAGTCACCCAAGATTCATCTCGTAGACTTTTCTAAGAGCATAAGAGCAATGATATGTACTCACCAAGTAGACTGGCTACTATGGAGACCAACCCAGTTCCAGCTCCAATTTCAATCACATTTTTGTCAACCAAATTGTATTGTTTAGAATTGGTCTCCAGAAAATAACACAGAACAAGAGCCTGTAGAGGAGGGAACATACTGAACGAATAAAAGAAATAAAATCTCTCACTAAATAAGCATTGTCATTTATAAGCATGCAAAAAAATGGAGGAGAGGTGGCTTCCCATCTGTTCAAATGAGCAACATTAATTCAAATAATGTCCTGAAAGGATCACAGCTCCCTATGATCTTTGAGCTCTGTAGGCTGACAAAATAAATGCCATAACATGCTTCAGTATATACTTGCAAAGCATTACAACCAGAAGGAACCACTGCAATTATCTAATCTGTCACACTGTGTAATATAAGCCAGAAAATTCCAGTCAGCAATTCCAGCATATAACTACACTTACTTCTGGCTGAGTTAAAATGTGTCCTTCACAAAGACACCTTTATGTAAGAACTGCTTGTGCAGGAAAATCAACTGCAAACCCATGTTAATCTCTTTCAGTAATTAATTATTTGTAAGAATAGTTAATTATCATAATGACTCAAAAGGGACCATGAGTTTTACCTCTTTGCTTTCACTTCAGTTTGCTTGTTTGCAGTTTTGCATGCTTAGCTTGGTAAGCATAACAAACCTTTCCAGCAAACAAAACCACAAAGAGCTCTCTACAGCCGTCTCATTATGTATACATTTATACCCTGCGATCAAGAAGTTTCTTAAGCTGTTCTGTCCTGTCTTAGTACTGACCAGATGATTGTCCTCAGACTGGCATATGCTGAATTATACTTTATTTCACTGTTGAAAAAGAAATTACTACCTCCATTCCTTTTGCAATAATAGTTTCCAGCTTGTCTCCCATAATATTTTCATGACTTAGTAAAAATCAAAAGCTAGTTTGTATAGAAAATTATACTGCCTACACTGACAAATATATATGATGAATATATATGATCCCTTTGCAATATGGCCGACCACTTGAAAGGACCAAGTGTCCCAATTTGGAATACTAAATTATACTCTTAGCTTTGCTTTTAACAGGTTGAGAAAGAAGTACAGAGAAAGGAACAAGAGGGATGTTGATTCAAAACATGCTAGAAATTCAAGCAAAGCTTTTGTTTTCTACCACTGAGAGCAAAAAGAAAAAGATCTTGTACATGAACTCACAGATATCTCCTACTCAACAAAGCTTTGATATAGGAGTATACCAAATACTTGGTATATTTCTACATCAGAGAAACAGCTCTGTGAGCGCCAGAACTAATTAAGGCCAAGTTTCAAAAGATTTTTGTTTGGTACTTGACTAAATTCTTAAACATATTTTATTTTATCCTGGTTTCTTATATTCCTATAACCTCTTCTCCCAGAGTCTTGCCATACTTAGCTAAAGAAACTGACTGGCATGATCAAAGCTCTATGTGTTGAATCCCTGTGACTTTGAAAACTGCTTTCCTTTCCAGGAAACATGCATAAACTTTGTTTTCCTTAAAGCTTCTGCCCTCTTGGCAAATCTGCTTGACATTTACCAGAAGGGTTCAAATACTGCCAGATGGAGAATATGAAGAGACACAGAAATGCTGTCTTCCTTTTCATAGTCAAACTGGCTAAACCCTCCAGAGAAATTATGTTTTTCAGGACACCCTGTCATTTTGTGAGAACAACAGACAATCAGTCAACCTTTCCTTGAAGAAGTGCACTGAGACTGCTAAGAGATATTGAACAAATGACTTCCCAGGTCAGCTAGGAGAAGAAAGTGTTTGGAGTTCAAAGCAGGGAAATATGACATTTATCCTTGGTTTAACTGTGGGCATATTTTTTAATTGGCAAAACCCTGGGAGGTTAACATTGTTGGTAGAGAAGTGGAGACTTTAGGATTTCAGTCATAGAGTAATAGAATCGTTATGTTTGGAAAAGACCTTCAAGATCAGAAAAACCCTCTCCCTGTGGGAGCTCCTGGGTGCCGCTCTGTTCCAGCGATGTTCTCCAAATGCCATGAGCCTCGTAACACACCAACCACATCCCCAACCACATCACTTTCACTCTTCTTTAGCAGCTCCCAAACACTCAATTTGTTGCATCACCACACAAACTGAAAACCCTGCAAAAGGCTCTTCCCACAGTGGATGTTAACAGTTCATATATCTAGAGCCATGAGCGATATTTCCTGAATATAAGTGTTCTCTACCACATACACTGCCTGCTGTTGGAGAAATTGATAGCTCCAACAGAACATTTTCCCTTGGCTGGACTTTTATAAGGTTAATGTGTTTCTCACATAAGTAGACTGAGTAGATTCTCTCACAGGTAATACCTGGTGAGATCATACCATAACTGTTTCCATAACCTGGGTCTGCCTACTATACAGCCATCTATACTTACAACATGCACAAAATTGTAATCACCTTGAGACTGTCATCTTTCCTGCAAAATTTGCTTGTAATTGGATAATGGAATCAAAGTTATAGGCTGGAGAGGAAATGAAAAGAGAACAAAGGAGAGATTTTCTAAGCTTTGAGAACCAGAAACCCACAGGAAATCAGACAAAATGCAGGTTTGCTGTTTGCAGACTGGAGACAGAGAAAATGTAGAAAGTCACCTTTTGTCATTATGACATCCAACAAAACATATTAACATGCAAAATAACAGTGCTAGAAAGTTTTTTTTTTTTAAAAAAAAAAAAAAAAAGGTCATAAATATTGTACCGAAGGCCAGACTACTGCCCCGTAACAGTCAGTGGCTTCTGTAATTCTTATCTCATGGCCAGCGAAGTGAAAGCCTTCCCAGGCCTTATGAGTTAAAACAGCAGGAAAAAAACGCCGTCTCATGATCTCTGCAACTATCTGTTCATCTTCTTTTTTCCCTGGAAGCAAAAGTATAAAAGGTCAACCAACTTACAAAAACATAAAAGATGAGCGTGCTGATAATGAAACTACCAATTTGTATTAAAAAGCTGGTATGGAAGCAAGAATTTGAATTATGCCTGTGAATGAAAATGCATTTTGCCATTAATGGGTACCATGATACATGGGAACTCTTCTGAATTCTAATTTAAGTTTTCAGTTTATGACTGCACAAAGTAATTTCTCCCCTGTTTTGCTGAAGAAGCCAAATTCAGAAAAAGTAAACAAGTGACATGCTACCATATCTTGCCTTCTGTTCTAGCAATCCAAAGGAAAAAACATAGGTTCTCTTTCACTTTGAGAGCAGCTGCCATGCTGTGCAATTTCAAGATCTTACATGCTTGGAGGTTTTTACCATTTCCTGTATCCTTTTATTGTTCACTTTCCACACATTATGGTTCTTTTTGACTGTAAACAAAGGAATTTCATTTATAAATCTGTCACAAAACTTGTGAAATACATCCTGGCAACTCAAATTCTGACCGACAGGAGAAAAAGCTCTACTGTTGTTAGGAAAGCTTATCCCCTCTCACCAACAAGCCTAGTAAAAGGGATTCTTTCCAATCGGCTTGTTACCCTCAATACCATCCTTGTTGCTGTGTGAAGGATATTTATGATAGCTACATAAGCCATGATAATTCTTCTAGAGGAGAAGATGCATTTTGATTTTAGCTGAATACGAAGGCAGATTCAGTTTTGTCATCATCACACAAAGCTGAACCACAATGTTGTGATGAAATAGATAAGCAAATCTCTCCAGAGCCTTTTCTTAGCAAAGTTTAGATTCATTCCAAATTTTAATAAGAAATTTACTTTCACAGACAATTATAATCTCCTGGCAAATTAGCTAAAGTAAAACATGTTTACATGTTACATCCCCCTGGAAAGCATGCTAGAGAATTAGATAACAGGGTTGTCATCTTTTCCAAAGCTGAGTTTCTATTTCAAGTCTGCAACTACCATCCAAATTCATAGATGTTAAGGTCTGCATTTTACACCATGAATAAATTGCACCTCTGAGCGCCCATAAATGAGAGAAAATGCTCTTTCATCAGCATAAAAATGTGGATCTACCATTCTTTAGTCAATTCAGGTTCATCGTCCACTGCTTGAAGCTTGCAATTCAATTGATTCCAAGCATCAGACAAAATTAGAGAATTGCAACACACACAAAGAAGAAAGAGCAAAAATGTTTATGCTCACTCTTAGTTCTTTGGATACTAAGGCTGATCTGGTAACCCGAAATGCTAACCATGGGACACAGGAAAATTAAAAGTAACATAATACATATATTATCATAAAGAAATATATAAGTAGCACACATGTATAAAGTTAACAGAAATAGAATACATACAAATTAACGTAGAGCCTCTAGAGGTCCCTTCCAACCTCAACTATTCTGTGATTCTGTGAAGTATTAGGGCTACCCTGCTAATGTTCAATATACATTTCCATCCTGTTCTTTATATTAGCAATCATCTTTCAACTCAATGGATGCCTAATACCTACACTAGGAGATTTTGTAGGCTGTAAAGGATTCCCCACTCAGGATACACTATCCACATCCCTGAAGGAAGAATGTCAAATCTACTGATTAATCACACCATCGCAATCTCTGGAACAGCTTACCATCTCTTGCAAAAGCTTAGCGGGCAGCTAACTTAGCACCACTTGGGGATCCCACAGGAGTTTGGGTTTTTTGTTTGTTTTTTTGTTTTGTTTTGTTTTTCTGGAGAAACTTACATAACAGTTTTATTTTTGTGGGGTTTTCTTTATTTTTCCCTACCCCTTAATAAGATCCTAATATTCTGTGGAATCAAGAAGGGCATTTGTTCCGCTAGCGATATCACATACTAAACTTCAAAATCATGACAAGAAATTATATCAGCACGAAGAAATTAATGATTCTGAAGACAGCTGACAAAATGATGTGTCCTTAGGCAGATTTGCTTGGTTCTGTGTAAATCTCCATACGCACCACAAAAGACACTCTTCTATATCATCCATAATAGCTAAACTCCTTCTGGCACCATATAAAGAAAGAAGTTATTGTTTGTTAACTGCATTTAGAGCAGTCAGAACAGAAAATAACACACCAGCAGGAAATATTTCATGCAATAAGAAAATGAACATCAGAGCAAACAAAATCCAATTTAAGCATCTTTTAATACCTGCAAATGTTGGGAAAGTTCTGCTAATTCACTCAAGTTTCATCACATCAGATTTAAAATTCTGATGGGAATTTATTCTCCTGGAGGTATTTAGCTGTGTGTTACGGTCCTTATTCTCTTGCTCTTGAAGATAATTTCTTGAAATTATGGCTCAACAGATGGATTCTAACAATTTAAATTTTAAATATTTTAACATAGCAATAGCTGACTCTTCAGTAGAATAGGGTCAGACAAAGGAAAAAGTTGATTCTGGTCTCAATTCTTGTAAGAATGGAAGTGCATATGGGTCTTATTCAAGCATCCATACCAAACCAGCAAAACTTTAAGGCACTGGAACAGATTCTTCTCTTCACGATTTTTGTAAGTCTTTTCAGGGAGATTGTCCAAAATTCTTCTCCTGTTTTGCTTTGGATAGGCATAGAAGTGGTATGCATATGTAATTACCTCCTTCAGACTATATCTTCTCTTGGTGTAAGCATAGCACCAGATTTTCTGGTGGAGAGCCTTATTTAGGTTAAGATGTGATAGTTTGATGTCATTCAGTTAACATACAGCAACTGAAATATTTTTCTATTAGAGAAACAGATAGTGTTCCTCTGGTCTTGACTTTGCATTCACACAGAAGTTTCCATCTACATATGCCCAAACCCTTCTTGAAATAGCATTTGAATTTAGTCAAGTTCCCTAAGACCTTCTACCTAATAGGCTAATGTCTTAGAGTGTTCTTTGAAATAGTTCAGCCATTTCTTTTATCTTTTACCATAAAAGTATAATGTCTTTGGAGCATGTTCTCTGAAAGCCCTCTGTTCTCAGCTGCCATCAAGGGTGAACAAGATAGTCGTATACTGCTGACAAATGATCTTGCAGTATATCAATCACATCATTGTGAAAACAACATAAACATCATTCTCATAGGCACAGCAAACATGATTATTGCAACTAAACTGTGAACACAGTTTTCCAGAGAGACATACTAAATTATATGGAAGACTGGAGTTCTTAAAACAGTAGCAGATTAGTTATAAAAATTTGTGACAAGCTGTTGAAACTTGTAGAGGGAACTAGAGGATTTTGTGGATGCACTCAAATGTCATATGAAATGCTTTATATTAGCACAAAACCTGAAGAAAAACGACACGAGTTCTGCGGAGGTGGAACTGGAAAAGTCCTTCAAGTAGAGAAGGCAGGTGGAAAAGGCGAGGAAGAAGAAAAATAACAGGTGACAGATCAAGTGAGAAAGTAGTAAGTTGCTAAAGACAGAATATTTAATAATCATGAAAATGGGCCTTATGCTCAGTTGATCTGAGCACTTTTGCTTGGAATCAGTAGAAATATGACCTGATTCTAAATATGCCACATGATACACGTTCTGTTTACACTAACTGTCACATGACATCCATTTTGATAGTATAGTGCTCAGACAAGCAGCAGTAACCTCAAAATTCAGTTGGGTATCTTCCATCAGTTATTAGCATATACTAAATCTCTCTTACTGTATAACTAATGAGACTTCTTACACTAATGGGCTCTTAATTGAATAAAGAGAGAAGAAAGATGGGCACTGTTAAACAGCACATAAAATGTAGGAAAAGCAGTAAAGGCAAGGAGTAGGGATTAAAATTCAAAAAGAATATTGATAACATCAGTCACATTCTAATTAGCTGTTTAAACAACAACAAAAAAAAAAAATTAAATGACCCTGGCTCATGGAAGCTATAAAGAAAATATACCAGTCACCCATTTTCAGCACATACAGTAACAAAATACCCTCTGACTACTTTGTTAATAGATCAGGACAGCATTGATTCAGAAGCCATAATCACCCAGTGACTCTCCAAAACAGTTTACAGGAAAAAAAAAATATAGAATGATCTCTTCCAAGTGACCTGATCCAACTTAACTTTTTAAGGTCAAACGGTGTCACAGCCCAAGGTGATAAGAGTGCATGCTAATGAAATAAGACCCAACTCTCTACACTGTCTACTCTGATGGACCTTTTCCAACTGGCAAAAGGAACGAAATTCAAGCTTTCAGTACGAACTTGATCTGAAAAAGTTCAGCCCTAGAGCAACATATTCTCCCCTCAGAAGAAGCACACTCCCTCATCTGTAGAGTTTAGACTTCAAAATTACTATTTACCAAGCCTAAACTGACAAACATTGTAGCAACCAGGTATCAACAGTCATGAAGATCTACACAGTTTCTCTAAGACTTCTCAGTAAGTGTCCTTGTGAGTTTGATGATTACCCACCCTGACATATTGATTTGAGTAATATATGAGAAAGTGCTATCAGCCCACTATCAAAGCACCAGTAATTCACAGTCAGCTGGCCTCTTCAGAAGTCTCCAGTCTGGACACACAGAACTGGAGTCACCCAAAGTAAAAATCCAAGACACAGTTTATACATCGAACCTGCTCAGTTAAAATTCAAAAATAAACTTCAAAAATAACATAAAAGACAGTTATTCTCCTTTCAGTGATGCCCAAATACACAAGGTTAGTTTTCTTTTCCAAAGACAATCTCTACCAAGGTGGCAAGCATGGCCTGTCTGCAGAGGCTTGGGCAGTGTTACCTACCATTCATATATGGCACTATCAAGCAGCAGAACTTCACATTTGTGAGGAGGGCATCTCACAGATCCTGCTCAGACAGCTCTTCTCAAAAAGTAGAGTAATTGGTGAATGATTTCAACAGAGTAAGCCTTACCTTGAATGTGTTTTCCAGTGATTAAAAAAAACCCTTTCAGGTAAGTCTGAAGTGGATTCTCATCAAACTTTCCATTTTCAC